GGCTAGCTTGGTGTCCAGAGAATTCCCAACCAAATCCCGTTCACAAATACGCAAACTTGTTATTGCATTGCTCAACATCAAAAACACAAAGTTGTTATCAAAATGTATGACTTATTTTCTAATCAATGTAGTTTCCTGGTAAATACGGGAGGTGTCCATGACAACATGAAGCAATTAATTTGATTCAAATTCATGTTTTACTCCATTTTTCGCTGTACGCTAAAGGGGTGAAATTCGATGGGATTTTAGATGAATCCGCGTTTTACATTAAAGTTGTTAAGCAGAATGTCGTAATCCAGTTTCGGGGTGTATGCCGACTTGTACAGTAGCTTATATAGATTCCGAATATGCCCGGGGTTACATTATAACACATATTTTATATGCCTGGAGCAGATAACACATTTAAACGCACGTAATCTTAAAAGAGGTTTTGAGACATGACTCACTAGACGCTAGTGGGTGGTTAGCAAACACTGTTGCAGTACCAATGTACTATGGTTCATACAACGCGGCAGATAAATGTAACAGAAACTTACCGAGAAGAGCATTGAGTAGATATTCAATGTGAATTTGATGAAGTAGTAGAAGTGGTTGGTTTTCCTCATTTCCGAGTAGGACGGCATGGCTGCTGACATCAGTAAAGCTAGCTAACAAGCTAACGTTAGCTACCCCTCGTTTGGTTCAGCCAATATCGAAATGATGATAATTAAACATCAAATGTTGTTAGTGAAATTAAAAATGGGGGTTTAACAGAGCTACCTGGATTTTATATATGAATCACCCCTCATTTCTCACGTACTATTGTGGATGGCCAGTGACACAGAAGCACTTCCGTGCGGCCGGGTTCGGAACACGCTTTGTTTTGACTACATTCTTAAAGTGGCAGTGAACACAACCTCGTTATCTCATTCCATTTAGCTGCTAGGGTTAATTTCTACAACATTATTTGTGTTTAGTTTAAACTATAATACTTTTTTACATTTAGTTCGGTCAATGTTTATTGCTTATTAAAAATGAATTAACAACAAGGTAAAATTAAAACGTTGAAAAACTCACTCGGGGTTAACAAATCTTTCTTGAATTTTTCAATCCATAAATAAAAGCAGGATACAGAAGAGGTCATACAAGTGACAACATGGTAGGTTTGATCAAAATCATGATCATGCATTGCTCTTCAAAATCTATAAACCCAATCTTTCTGAAGTCTTGTCTCACTCATCAGCACATTCATTGATCGTTGATAAAGGAATTGCACAGGTGAGAATTAAATGACCCCAATGCAACCTAGAGAGCCACGTTATGTGAAGCTCAGCATCCCGCATATTTCATACTTAATTGAGTTTGAATGTTTAGCGAGAAGTAGCGAACGATTCAGTCAAAGCTACTGGAAGCCAAATCTTCGAAAGGGCAGAAATTGCATTTGCAATTCAGAAATGGTTTTGTGTCTGTTAATCCCTCAGGATCATTGGCCAGCCGAGGAGGCGCTTGGCACGGACTGAATTGAGTTTAAATTCAGTAACCCCGCTCATTTCTTGTGTTAAGTCATCTGAATCCAGCAGTTCCTCTGCCAGCCTCCTTTCCATACATTAGCAACACACACACACACACACACACACACACACACACACACACACACACACACACACACACACACACACACACACACACACACACAGAGCCTTTTTTTTATTATTACAAACCGGGGGGCATAAAATACATTCACCCAAATATGATTTGATGATTAAAGGATGAACTTGCTCTGCCACTGAGCCCCATAAAGCAATCTGCCTCAAACATCTAGAATGAACACAACTAGGTAGCTCTGTAAAACAAGACTCTTTCATTCGGAAATAAAGTCTATAGATGCCAAAGAAGTTGATTGGTTATTTCAGTGGTGATTTCCTTTCACTGGGACAGCCTGTGCTATCACCTGTGGCTCATATAATGCTATTTTCCCATCAGTAATGACGGCTTCCGGAAGCTACCGACAAAATAGTTTGTCTTTAACTTTGAAAAAAAAAGATATCCTGTAAAAATAGTTTCAGTACCTGAATGAGTAAAATAGCGTTCATCAATTTCATGATTTTAATTTATTTTTTCTGTATGACGATTAATATATTGCCATTCCTGTTAGCCTCAGTTGTACCTTTTGTGTTTAGTGACATTCAAGATTTGGCATTGTCATTGTGAGGACGGTAGCATGGAGATGTTAGCATTTGGACAAAGTGCACCTGCTCCATTGTAGAGCCTCACTGAGCCGGATGCACGGCCATAGAGCGGCCCTGTCTGGACATGCATATGAAAAGGACAGTTAATACTGAATATATTTGGGAAAAAGGGACATAATGCACGTTTTATTAGAGGAATGACATTTAGACACAGAAAGAAATGTGGTCAGAAAGTTAATATTCAATCTCATACAATTACAGGTACTCATCTCTGTTCATTGAAAGCCTAATTTAATCACGACGAGGAAATGTCAATGCGCTGCATTTCAAATGTAGAGGAGTCCGTGGATCATTGGGCCTCATGTAGCAACTTTCTATTACATTTCTCATATTTGTCTGTTTAGTTTAATAATAATTAAAGTCCAGATACATCAACTTTTCTTAACCATCTTACCCTGGTGTTTTTAACAATGAATCCCAGTTTATCATAAATTAGCGACATGTAGCAGATTGTTGGATATTTGCATTATTAAACATTATATTACAGCAGGTCTTGTGCCCTGTGCAAGATTGGAGAGATACCACAAAAAAGGCTTTAAGAGAATGAAGAATTTCGACTTTCATGAAGTAAATATGTGATTTTTCAGATTGTCAATACTGATGTTACAGAAACATTTTAAAACATCGAAGAGTTGTACACACGCAATGTCATCAAATCAGTATTATTATTGGAAAAAATAAACAATCCGCTTTTTTCAATGATAGAAATCAATGGTTATTTGCAAAACAAGAAGAAATTGTAAAACAAAAATAACAGGAATTCCTTTTGCAAAATGTTCCGCGCAGTCCACAAATAGCAGAGGTAGAGATGTTTGACTTCTCCTTCCAAGCAGTTTAGTCTTCAGGCGCTCTGACAGTAGTGATGAAGAGGACAGTCCAGAATGGATAAAAGCTTCTCCCAAGAGAAAAACAATGTCCTTGTGCATGACGAAAATAACTACCATGACTACATGGGATTATCTTTGGAGGATAACATTGTTTTGTTGGTTACGTTGCTGTGGTGTCATCGGGCAATTATTGAGCAGTGCAGGATGTGAAGCGGCACCATGAGAAAAGGAAATATTTGCAGACAATTACAGAAGAAAAGGGGAATGTTGATCAGCCAGGTGTTGATATTACAGGATGAATTGTTACGACCCAGAGACCAAGACATTTCAATCATATCGATAAAAGTAAAACGTCTTGTGACCTGATCATTAAATACAAGTTTGTGGATCATTTTGTGGGACCATGAGTTCACAAAAATATTTGGTCAAGGGGTAAACCTGACATGAGGTTAGCATCTTCCTTCCTCTTACCTTAATATCACCATGCAGTGTTTCCTCTTTTCGCTAGTGGGCCTTAGTAAAGATGGCTACCTGTGAGAGGCTCACACAAGAGGTATACGGAAAGTTCTATAGTAATCTTGTATAAAATCGCAGTGTGTCAAAAATGTGAATGGAATGATTTTCTGCGCTCTGTGCACGACAAAGAAACGCTCTGTTCTGTTTCCAATATCATCACAGAAGAGGCTGATAATGCAGGGTGTCTCTTCGTGTTTGTAATTTAGCGGCTTTATTTATTTATTCATGAGAAAAGAGTTCTTGTAATCAGCTGCTTGTCTGTCTGACACAGATTGGTGTTAAAAAAAACTGCTTTAAAAAGATTTGTTCACATTTGGAAGACACCGGATGTCCACAGAGTTCTATTTGTTTACTGATTCTAAATGAGGATACGTATTACTATGCATGGGTCTCTTTCTGGGTGGTCGTCTATATTCACAGAGAAATCTTCCTTCAACAAATAAAAGAACACACAATTTTGTTCAAACTAATATTTGTCAATGTAAACTGCAGAATCCATAACCGGCAAAAGTGTTTTGATGTTGTTAGAAAAATAGAATCCACATTCACTTTCAATAACGTAAAATCTCAAATGTAATTTGGTCAACATAATGTTACATCAAGAGTGAGAGTTAACAGCCAGGTGAGGGGCTCTGAGAGTATTCTGTATTCTGTAAAACAAACCATTAGAATAAGGGAAAGTTTGACCCGATGATGATGCTATCTTAGAAGTGTGGGGATCACCAATTATAACACTTCCTAAGAGCGATACGCGCGTATTTTTACCAAATTTCAAGGTAAAAACACATGCGACTCACAATCAAATCGATATATTCACGCAGCGTAGTTCAAAATACCACAGTATTAATATTTTAGTAACCCGAGTCCTGCAAGAATGTGAATGAACTCAAACGTCTCTGATTCACAACTCAAACTTGGCTGTAAGCAAAGGCCCGCAATGTAAGTTAAGATTCAACCTTTTCCACTTTTTGTGCTTTCAAGAGTTCAGTGGCTGGAAGTGAAACCTTCTCAATGAACTCATTCATCCTGGCTCATCGCTCCTCTGCAGGCTCCTACAAATGCATTCCCCAGAAACGGAGCGGGGAACAAAGCTTTCATAAAATATATGAAGCTTTTGTAAAAAAGTTGTCTTCTGAAGACAATACCCTTGACTTGCCCCTCTTATGAATAATTTAGTATTCATCAATATCATCTATACTAAGCACGTCATGTTTTGTTTGAGTTTGAGTGAGAACGTGTAAAGCGCCTCTGGAGTCCACGTTCGTCCAGCAGCTCGTCCCTTAAGTGCGCAGTCCACAATGTGAGTGCAGGGGGGGGGGGGGGGGGGGCTAGTGGGAAGGACACTGTGACACTTCACATTCAGAAACAAATGCATTCTTTCAATTGCATTTTTTTTTAGATTAAATCCACTCAAGATGATAGCCGTTAATGATGCCACTACACGATTAATATTACAACTTGGATACAATTTGTATTACTATTAAGACAGTATTACTCACGTGCCTGAAATCGTTCATTCTCCTGCTTGTCTGAGATTTGTTATATTACCCACAAAGCGATTACGGGATAATTCAATCAGATGAGGGGTATTTAGGGATGATTATCCCGTTGGCTTGCCCGTGCTGTCTGAGTCGGACGGAATAAATAGCATAATCATAATTACGCGGACTGCCCATTGGAGGAGTGCGCGGCGCCTCGCGACATAAAAGTGGTGTGCAGCAGAGATCACAGCGCGCACACGGGAGAGGACGCGGCGGAGAGAGCGCAACACGGACGCGTCTTTGCGCACAGATATGCGCGACAAAGTGCAGGCTGACTTTTTTAAGTGAGCGATTCCATACGTGTCACGCGCTTTCCTTTAAACTTTGGTCACTTTGCAATTACCAAGCGCAGTTGTCTTGGTCCGAATTAGGTTTGTATCCGGTTGTTCGGTAAAGCGACTTTCGGTCTTCAACCGCAAAAAAATGGATGCTTTATTTAACTCCACCAACGCGCCAAATTGGAACACGGGCTCCAACGACACCAGTAATGGGACCGCGGAGTGGAACCAGTTTGTCCAGCCGGCCTGGAGGATCGTGCTCTGGGCCATCGCGTACAGCTGTATAGTGATCGTGTCCGTGGTGGGAAATCTCACAGTGATCTGGATTATCATGGCGCACAAACGCATGAGGACCGTCACCAATTATTTCCTGCTGAACCTGGCGTTCGCCGAAGCCTCCATGTCCGCCTTCAACACGGTGATCAACTTCACGTACGCGGTGCACAACGAGTGGTACTTCGGACTGGTCTACTGCCGCTTCCACAACTTCTTTCCCATCGCAGCTGTCTTCGCCAGCATCTACTCCATGACCGCAATCGCCCTGGACAGGTAAGCTGAATAATAATAATACATGTTTAAATGGCATTATCAATTTAGGACTGATCAAAGCTCCTCACCGTGTTGTCTTAAATGATTGACAACTAATTGGATGCATGTTAATCAGGCTGGTGGTTGTGATGTTATTTAGCTTTTATGAAAATAAGAAAGTGTATTCAAAGTGCAACCATATAAATGCATTACAGTTGTTTTGCTCTTTGCCAACCTTTCATTCCACTCAGTGTGCATCTCGCATCAAATGCAAACACTGAAATTTGTCGACCAACAAATTGCAATTCATTACACAATTTTCCCAAAAAACCCAGAACAACAAGATCGTAATACGTATCTTTTATTTATTTAGCATAAACAGAGATCACAGCTCAACAACAATAAGGGCATGGATTGTGCAACATTCCAGTAGCACAGCCCACATTAATGAAATTAATCAGAAATGCTGCAATTGATTCTTAATATGTGACTGGTTCTGATGTTCTGCATTCAGTCTCTCCTGAGACACAATTTGTTTGCATGCCTGATCCATCCCTGCAATTCTCTGCAGATGTACTCATTATATGCAGCATCCATTATGTCCAAGAGGGGCACCTTCATCACGACAGATTTCCTATGTCGGGTTGACGAATTTGGAGAATGGTGGAACAAAAAGGGAGTCGACTGGCCCTAAAACAGTGAAACACCCAGAGAATCCCAAAACGTCTCTTTCCTCAACGGAGTCTGTCATCAGTAAATGAACCAAGCCCCTCAGTGTCTCACTAGTGGGTTTACACCTTTGGATTTATTTTTGTATGTTGCAGAGTGTTGCACATTGCAGTCAAATTCACAGTTGCTTTATGTTAAGATTTTTCCGTAACAGCTTTACAACAGTGCGTAGAAACACTAAAACACAGTTTCGGTGGTGTTGGGCCCGAGTGAGAAACAGCTCATGGTTTCATAGAGACCGAATGCTTCTTGGCCTGTGGGGCTTTGGGAACACTGTGCTCACAGATGGATACGTCTTCCATCACGTGGTTGCTTCAAACATCCGTGGCGATGCTCCTCCAAAGGTCACTTCACTGACAAATGTTGTTGCTTACGTTGCAGATTTAAAGTTGACTGACACAATATAACAATTAAAATATGATGCATCATTAGGTAAATGTAAGTACATTGGCTTGGAAATGCTTCTTTCCCAATTTAGTAAGTAAAACTTTGAATAAAGGACGTTTTATGTGTAGCATTAATTGTTTTAAACAAACGTTTATAGTTTAAAATGTTGTTTGTTTGCTAAGGTGGTCATTGATTGAATTATGTCTAAAAAAGCAATGAAAAGTGATCCATAGTTTAGTCCACATCGATTTCTTTTGCACTGACAGAGTTTTGATAGAGTGAACTCAGTATTGAGAAATACGTGTTACTATTATAAAAAAAAATGTAGCATGGAGCTTGCGTTTTCCATCAGAGGAGCTCTTCTTATTGTCATATGTTGAAAGAAGCTCTGCGGAGCTCGTTGTGTGAAATACCTCCCCGCCGCCCCCAAACCCCCAGTGCACATTCACGTGTGAGCAACCGCTATTCATCAAAGGTGACAGCTCCTTGTGACGACGACGGTGAATGGAAATGAGATCAGTGTGCTGCATTGTGAGTGTGCGAATGTCTGTGCATGTGGGGGGGGGGGGGGGCCGTTGCAGTTTCATGTGTTTGTACGTGCATCTTTGTCTGTATTCATTAAAGCAGTTTTATTTACATCATGTGTTTGCTTTTGTATCTCTGATCTTCATGCACTGTGTAAGTGTGTTTGTGGGTATAAATGCGTCCTTGTGACACATATGGAAACTGCCTCCACCTACACGCTAAGCTGTGAACGTCTTGCCTCCTGCTTGTCAAGTCTGCATGCGTGTCTTTTATTCCTCTACATCCTAGTTGATAATAGCCTGTAAATATTATGTGCATCTCTCCTTGAGCAAGAAAGCCAAACAGCAAGAGGACGTGAGAACAAATATGCATATTAAGCTTACAACAAGCTACACATTCAGACAGATTTTCCATTAAGGGAAGTAAAAATCCTTTTTACATTTTTTTTTAAAGAGGATTCCCCCATTGTGACATATTACTAGCCATCTCCTGCTGCTGTTGATTCCTGTGAGAGCAGAAGAGCTCCATTAGCTACAGACATGAAATACTTTTTTTCCAAATGAATCAACTCTGCAGCATCTCGCCAGGGAGGACGGAGCAGCGTGCTGCAGCCGATAAGGCCTTTTTTCGTCTCCGTCATCGCTCCAATCAGGACTGGCAATCTATGGGTCGTGTAGCGCGAGAACACCACACAAGCCATAGATCACCCGCACAATCAGGATGCTGATGCCGGTGTGCGGAGCCAGAACCACAGGGGAGTTGGCCCCCTTGGACTGGACAAGACCTGTGACTTGTCTTTTAAAGTCTTGAATTTGATTTGGGACATGTGAACAATCTTTAATATATTTTATATACTCATATATTTTTCGTCCAAGCAAGATAATGGACATGTCTGAGCTGGTTATCATGCCCTCCCTTTTTGTAATGCTAACCATTAGGTGGCCATAGATGACGGTAAGATGAAGCAATAACACATTAGTGGGCACAAGGGAGACTGACTGGTTTAATTGGCTGTTGCTGAATATTTTGAGATACGGTACTCGTACTCGACTTGGACAGAAAAAAGAGGACTTGTGAGTCTCTGTGTAGCATAGGGATGAAATGTGATTATCTACTGTTCTGTTTCCCAGGATTGGCAGTACATGCTTAAAATCCCTGACAAATGTCTGTGATTCAACAATTAGCCAGTTTACCAGCTAATTTCAATCACATCAAGTTGTAAATCATCATCAGATAATAATGGATGGATTCTGAGATTGCATTTGTGCCCATAAATTCAGCCTCTTTTGTCCTGTACACGGATGTTTACCTCCATATGAGTAAAACTGGCTCGAAACTGGATGGAGAACTTTTAGAAAATCCTTTTAAGTAAAATGTGAAAAGCTCCCGGTTTTGCACAGATTGAGAATGTGCAACAGGTGGATGGAAACACACCTGTTGATAGCGGCTATTAGACCTTTATGATTCCCCGATGATCACCTTCAGCAATGCTGTTTCAATTTACATTAAAGTTTTAAAATCAGCGTGTTATGCGAGAGAAAATAAGTTTTTCTCAACCCGTAATGTAGGACGCACTTTAGTTGTATAAGGGAACGTCGTTTTGCAGTATACAGGATTTTATTAGTGCTGCAGCGATTGTGAACTTTTTATTATTATTTTTTGTTTGAATATGAAAATCCAGCAACCGTAAAGAATACGATGCAGGCAAGATTGGGATGTTTGTGGCCATTAAAGAGACCAATGCTCAGGTAAGATACAGTACAAAGTAACCACAGAACTGAATAATGCAAAAGCTATCAGGTCAGACTTTGAAGATATATTTTATGGTTTTTTTTCAACATTTGGGGAACCTGTTATTTAATTTCAAAGGTGCTTTGATGGAGCTAAACGGAGCAAAGTGCTGCAGTTTTGTCAACATAAAAGGGAAGGTTGTTGTACCTCATATAAGCCTCACTTTTCACTCAGGATAACACTACGCAAGAAAGAAAAATGAAGCACACTGACGTAACGATAGATAAATATAGCAGAACCATGCAGAGCCAAACTGCTCGATGTAACAAACGTTGTAGTTTGATTGAAATCCTTGATCCTGGTCGACTACGATTTTTATGGGCGGCAATTTTTTGTTGATTTCCATTCCATGTTTTTACATTCAGTAATTATTCACACTGGTGGTGGTGAAGTCAGACAATGACCATCAAACTCTGATGTTCGTCTCATCTGCATGAGGCATGGGTCGAGGCTCTATCCGATGAGATGAACAGCTAAACAGACAGAAAGCAGGCGCAATCTGGAAACCCCGAAGCTGCTTCTGCGACACACCTTAGCATAGCTTGTTATGTGTGAGTCTGGCAGATGATGAAGTCCTCAAGGCTTCACGGCCGCTTCAACCGGAGTTGTTTAAAATGGTAAATGGTCTGTGCTTGTATATCGCTTTTCTAGTCTCCGACCACTCAAAGCGCTTTAACACTACATGTCATCATTCATCCATTCACACCCATTCATGCACTGGAGCCACCACCTGCACATCAGTAACTAACATTCACTCTCTGTAGTCACAGCTACAGGAGCACCGTTGGGGTTAAGTGTGTTGCCCAAGGACACACCGGCATGCGTGTTAGCCGGGCCTGGGATCGGACTGCCAATCCTCTGATTGGAGGACAGCCGTGCTCCCCACTCACCCACAGTCGCCACGAGTTCTTTCTAGAGAAGTAAGAACGTTTTTCATTCACAATCTGTTAGCGCTGTGACCACTTCCCTGCCTCACTGGCTCCTGAGCTGTTACCTGCTGCCCTTCACAGGGCAGAGGCGCTATTACCTTGAGAAATGAAGGATCGATTGGTGGAGAATGGGCCATGCTGGGCTGTTGCACACAGAGTTCAAGACTGCAGATACTGCAACCCATTGTAATGAGTATGGAAATTGTGAATCGATATTCCCGACTTCCTATCTAAATGTGTTTCTGCATTGAAGAAATGGATGCCCTCAGCAAACAGATGGCAAGTTCACGTTGGCAAAGTCCGCCTCGATAACCTTCGCCCCAATTTCCGGGAACACTGAGATTATCTGATTTCCAAGAAGAGTGGACTGCACCATCACTGCACAGCATATTAACAGCAGCTAACGGTGGCCTCGTCTCTGGCTCTCTGGCACCTCTCTCTTCCAATTTCATTTCCACTTCCTCCGCTCACTCCTCTGTCTTGTTTCCCCCTGAGGGATCATCACGAGAAGTTATTCTGCCCGCCTTTCTCTTTCTGGTTATCTGCACATGAGAAGTGGGATGGATTCTTTGCTTCACAAAAGCACTCTGTGAAAGGTGCGGGTCAGTGGGTGGAGCGCGTCGTCCTTTGATCACTTCGTTTGCGTGCTTGTGTCCTTGAGTGAGACGCTGAATCCCAAGTCGCTGCCTTGGTGCTGACACATCAGCCCCCCGCTCCTAAATGCTTAGGATCGGTTAAATGCAGAGGTCCAATTTCCTGTATGGACCTCCTATGTTTATCTGCAATTGTAACAAAGTTGAAAGTTCATAAAACAGGAAATAAACCTGACCACAAACACGTGTATTTATTTAGATCCACTTATAGATCCACGGTCCAAGTGGTTTGGTTATTTTTTATTGATAAAATAAGATCGGGACCTCTACCTATCGGGGCCTCGATGAACATTCACAAAGATAATTATAGATATTAGGCTTCGATTTACACCGTGTAGCATATATTTTCCATGGGCCTTTATTGTGAAAGCTACTGAAGGTAAGAGGGGGTCGCTTAAAAAAGTTTGCCGTCTTGGTTAGGACTCAAAACCTCCCATCGTTATACAATATAAATTGCTCATTTTCAATTCAACTAAATATGCTGGATGTCAACATGTGAATATGTAACATAAGCATATAATCTAAATTTTTCATCTCTGGTCTAATGTCCCTATTGTTTCAATACTGAATCAGTTTGGTACACTCGCTGGTCAGGTCAGTACAGACACAGCAACATTTTGCGTTAGGATATTTTGTCAGCAGGAAAACATACATAATTCCTAATAATTATACATAATTTAATCACAGCTCTGATTTTCAAAAGGCACCGCCCTCCACATCCTACAGAGTCAGTGTTACACATTTAGATGGTTTCGCTGCCTTAGCTATATGTTGCCTCCAACACTCCAATCAACAATTTCCATATCCTGTCACTGAATTGTCAGTAAATAGATATTTTATTAGAGTTTGACAAATAGCTTTGAAGCTGCTATATAGTGCATCGCGTACGAGTTAAATTAAGCCATGTGTATATATATGTTTGCAGTTAGCCCAGTCTTGATTATTAATAGCCTGCCAATCAACATGGTGGCACATACTATCTGAATGAAAATATAAACATGACAAAAAATAAGTTTTTCAACATTTCCAGTGCGTTCCGTGTTTGTTTTTTCGGTATTTTGTTGTGCTTTTATCACTTTGCAGCACGTTTTCCGAATGCCATGACGGCCGTATTTTCTAAATTTGGCTAACCTCAATAAGAAAGCTCATCTCCTGCCTCGGTGGACTCACGCTGCTTGCCATTCCTACGTGCACCTGCACACACACGCTATGCTCTCACCCATGAGACCGGAGACGTTTTGCTTTTGCACAGGACGAGGGGTCTGTTGGTTGTTGATTTGACTGAGCTGGCTAAAGGATTCACACGTATGTAGAAAATAATGGAAATAACAGTGGCGAACCTTCAAGTGACCAAACACACACACACACACACACACACACACACACACACACACACACACACACACAGACGCCACAATCTCTGTCACCTTCACCCTCTGATGGAAGCTTTACGTAACCTTCTGCAAGACGACAGCAGCCCCCTGAGACTCCCATAATCCAGATGAAGCAAATTCATGATCAAATTACCAGAGCCTATTTTCAAATGCAATTTGGAAAAAAAGGACAAAAAAAATCCCAGGCAGGCTTGAAGGCAGGCAATTACCGCCGTCGCTTTAGCTGCTTTCGTCTTAATCACTTCCTTTTCTTCAGGAAAACAGTGCAGCAGCCTCATGGTGTTTATATCGAACTGTTGCATTGCCACGGCGGTTTAGGTGCTGTTTGTGGGTAATTGGAGGTGTAAGTCACCCGTGCAATCTAACAACAGCTGCCCATGCTGCCTTCCACCGAGTGAGAAGGCACTGCCTTAAGAGAAATCAGATATTGCCCACGCACACTTATTTGGAGTGCAAAGTCTCGGAAGGTGTGCTTTCCAGAGTGTTGAATAAAATGCAGGAAAAGAAATGCCTCTGAACTCTCTGCTGGGGTTGATGGGACTTTTGAATCCGTTCTGCCATTTTCCTCCCTCTTTCATCAAGGTCGCAGGAATGCCTTAGAATGCAGCTGCCAATAAAATGAGGGTTCAATTGAACATATGCTGGAGGAGCTAGATTATTTGCTGAATGAAAAAGCGCTCAAACTGAAAAAGGTTTAGAAATTGAACGATTACTGGTACGGAGGTTTGAATTTGCGTCACAGACGTCAATCAAAAAGCTTGAGAGTTGGCTAGTTTAGGATGAAAATGGTACATTATCATATTCCTTTTTTTTTTTCAAGTGCTTCTGCATGTGCGTTGTGCGGTAGGTTTTGTACAGGTCTGTTTCAGGTCGTGATGGTGTGTCAAGCTGGCAGGGCTGATAATGAGGATTTGAGCAGTGGAACAAGCCGAGCATTGTCCTTTGCAGGTGTGTGTTTGATTTTCGGCATCGCAGAGCCGGACTGTGACTCACCTTCGTGAAGCGAAGCGCCCTTTGAAGTGCAGCCAAAGTAAAGTCAAGGCTGCGATCGCCAGTTCTTCGCAGACCGCTGGGAGCGTTTGATTTCAAAGGCCCCCTCTCGTCTCTGATATAATTAGGGGGAGAAGTTGACGTCCATTTAGCAGATCCATTTGGGTGATTAGTGGAATCAAGCCTTTAATTAAACCCGGCATTTCACTAGAGAGCTTTGCTTAAAAGGGGTCAAAAAATAATAATAACACTGGTGTTAAAGCTCTGCAGAAAAGAACGCCCGTGAAGGCTTCCAGACCGGATAGTCTAGCACAGCAATGTTATTTTAAGTTCTTCTTGCATCGTGTCGTCTCTCTGATTAGAAGCCTGATTGGGAACATTTGGTGTGATTTCTAAAATGCAGATGGTAAAGATCTGAGTAGAATTGTACTTCATATCATGTTTTGTGATCGCCGATCGCCAAAAACATACATTTTATCCAGAAAATAGATTTACCAGCAGTAATACATTTAACAGATCAAAGCTTACTGTGTTGTTCTCTTCCTTCTAAATGTTTCAGATGTAGGTGAGTGGGCGAGTGTGTGTGTGTGTGTGTGTGTGTGTCCTGCCGGTTGTTTTTCAGTGTGGAGTTTGAGTTTCTTTTCAGGAACTCTATTTTCAGTTTGTGACTCTCGAACAAATGAGCATATTTCACACTTTGACTACATCAAGGACCTAAATAACTTGCATAATGCAGTATTCTCCATCTGTACTTCTGTTTATCGTCTCCTCTCTGCCTTTATGCTTTGCAATGGGCAGCTTTGGTTTGTAGTTACATATTAAAAAACATTTCATAATGGCCTCATTGCCTTTTCAACGCTTAAAAGGGCATTTTACTGTAGTATTGACATTGTGACAGTAAGGTGGACTTTCTTTTAAGAAGCTTTCATTTGGGTATCATCAACGTCAATTGTAAAGTGCAACACTTGTAGCTCGTTTTATACGTAGTCCCTGCATTTTAGTTAGCGGGGAGTTAACGCTTTAGTAATTGCAAATTGAAATGAATCATCCCATTTAGTATTTGGTGTCATATCCCTGGCAGTCAGGGAGGGCCTGAGGGCTCTGAGTCACAGACACTTGGTATCTTCGCTGGTGACGCTTTGCCAGCCGCCTCACTGCCTGCCTCGAAAAAAAACGTTAGCTGGGCTCCGTCCCAAGGTAACAAAATCAGTGAATGTGTGTCTTGTGTTTAATTTAAACAAAAAAAAACATTGTTTGGGTGCAATGGTTGTTTTCATGATGGCCTTTCTCTGCCAGGCTGAGCCAACCAGTTGATTTCCCAAAACGTCAATGTCTTTGTGTAGACATCAGATGGTTATTGATTCGATCAGCTCAGCGTAATACATTCCAAGCCAAGAAATTGCTAAATCACTGTATCTTCTCCCCTGCAGGTACATGGCCATCATCCACCCTCTGCAGCAGCGCATGTCCTCCACTGAGACCAAGGTGGTGGTTGGCGTGATCTGGGCGCTGGCTCTGCTCCTGGCGTTCCCCCAGTACTACTACTCCGACATTGACAAGCAGCCCAGCCGGGTGGTGTGCTTCATCGACTGGCCCGAATACACCGTGTGCGACTTCAAAAAGATGTGAGTGTCTCCGCGGACCAGCTATTTATGTAGTCGACGAGCACGCTGTAATTGCTTTTGTATCGACAGCAAAAGTGGGTGGATGTTGTTTGTATTAAGTCTAAATTAGGGAGCGTGTCGAAAAAGCATGCAATCTTTTTCTGCTTTGTGATGAATGAATTGAAAGCACATCATAGGGGATTTGTGTGCTCCCTCTACCGAAAGGCAAACAAGTCACGTTTGAGAGGAGAAAAGAAGAATTTAACCCTTTGCCAACTTATTCAGATTTCCTTTTCTATTCATTTCTAATTAAATCACTGGCATTTACGTCAAAGCTGAGAGCTATGATTCCCAATTGGCCTCTCACACTCATATTACCAACACGTGTTCATAGCTTTTTATTATTTACAATCCGCTTATACCGTCAGACGGTATTGAACACACAAACCATGACCCGGTTAACAACGAAACCTATAATGTAAAAGAGATTACTGAGAAAAGGGACCCACATGACTGAGCTGTTCATCAAACCACAACAGTTCAAGGTCTGTTTGGAGTAATGTTTGCTTGTACTCCACAACCGGGATGACATTATTCCACTTCGATTTGATTGGCCACCAGAAGTCCCACCAGAAGCTCAGCACAGTGAGCTCGGAGGTAAATCTGTGCACGTTCACATGGATGCCGTCGCTTTCGCCTCATGTCGCCTCCAGCAAAACCGCTTCCCGTCCGCCGCTTTTCCCTCGTTGAAACAACTGGAAGCCATGACGTGAGTCAATGAGTCCCTGAAGTATTAATTTCCCCCACGGGCCCCCTATAGGGATTGTTGCATATCATTTCATGCCGTGGAGGTTTGCCGAGTAGCTTGCCGGACACCATTGGAATTACTATGATGCGGCGGGTTTGTGAAGATCAAAACATGCAGTGAGAATGATTTCGAGGTACCATGTAACACTGGTGTGACTGTTGACCACTCACCCTTCCTCCAGATATCATCTTACTTTTGGCTGCTAAAATAGAACCGAAGCCGCATTCATGTCATACCAGTCGCTGACCCCCGGGAAAAATCATTTTAACACTCCAGTTTCCTCGTGCAGAGGAAATAGCTAAAGCTGTCATTGCTGCAGAAGCGCACCTATTCCATCTCCCCATCGCACCGTTATCTCTAATCAAAGAGAATGTGAGGAAACGTACGGTTGTGCAAATGGTGCGTTTAATCTTCCTCACCCAGGCAAACTTCTGAAGCGGCTTCAAAAACACAGGACGGAGTGAGGGTGCCTGGCCGTGATCTACTCTCACCGCGCGCCACCCCGGAAACACCAATTTGTCTTTCGGTAATCCCGCCGGCATGACCGGCCGACACACACTTGAAGGCACGACCGCGGGTATCGCCCCGTAAATGTGCACACAAGACTTGTTCAGCAAACACAGAAAAAAAAACACCCACGCGATGACGCACATGTTCAGGCACAAAGACACACAGCAACACGGATCACAGCTCCGATGATGGCAAAAACCTCAGCTGATCAGCATGCTATCGCCTTCCCTTTCTACTGCCTCGGCCCCATATCTCTATGGAAATATAGTTTGTCATTAACAGCGAAATGGAAATTTGGATGTTCATTAAGGGGTGCCAGCTGCAATTATGACTTTTTTAATGAAAGTGTAACAAGGAACACGTTGGCGCTGCGCGAGGAAGCAGTTGTCATTCAGCTCAGCTGCTCAAGCTGTAAATGACCCACCTGATTACGGTTGACCCCGGGTCACGTCCCCCGCGCCTTTTCCTTCCGCCGTTGTCCCGCTGCCGCTCTCGCAGACACTCCGTCTGATGTGCCGTTTCTCCTGCCTTCCCGCTCAGTGGGTGTCACGGGAAAACCATTAATGGGTGACATTGTTTATAAATTCACGCTCATGTAGATCGTCTTATATAGATTGTTATGCCACACCACGCTCCTCCTGGAATGATCACCCCTAACATACGGCCCGCGGCCCCCGGATCCGATGATTCGACTGGTCCGCCCCGCGTGACAGAAAAGTGGACCCTACCTGAAATCAGTTTGATACCCCTGCCCTAAATGAAAGGCCAATCAAAAAGAATGATGTTAATTCAGGTATACACTATATTTAGAATGTTTCTGCTTTACCTCGGGGAGCGGAAGTTGTCTATTCTCTATTCAAAGGCACCAGACTGACGACAGAATGCACCTGTTTGATTTGATCCATAACTGCACCTGAAGAACATGAGAGTTATGTTGATTAGTTGGTTCATGACTTTGTGGTGAATCCAAACAAACCCTGTCGTAAAGCTGTTCTTTTATAGTGTGATTTTCACCGGAGATATAAACGTCATACTAAATTTCTGGTTCATTGCAAACGACCTGGCGGTCACAATAATAGTAATCGCAGAAGGTATTTTGAGAAACTAGCAAACATACGCGACACAATCGTGATGAATTTCCAGAATCGTCCTCGTTTTTTCATCTTTGAGAGAAAATTTACTTCTCACGAGGAAAAGAAATACAGGAACATCTCACAAAACAGGTCTTTGTGAAGCTGAAGGAAGACACGCGCTCTAAAACACAGAGAGAGAGGAAATCTCAGTCAGCACGTCGTGTCCTCTGTGATCTCTCTCCACTAAATTGGGCTTCACAAGACATGAGCCTGAGATTAGTGGCAGCGAGGCGGCGTGACAGCGAGGCGGCGTGGCAGCGTGGCAGCGAGGCGGCGTGGAGCGCGGCGTCCTGTTACCTCGAGTATTCTTTTGCCTCGGCTGGCGGGCAAAGTCATCGTAACAGCTGCCCTTCCTCCTAACACACACATTCATTATTTATGTACAAACACCCACAGGTTTAAATGCATGCATGGAAATGTGCATTCCCTTCAGTTCAACGCTCACATACAGCACTTTAGAATCGATGTTGACACAGTTCATCTCATGAGCTAAAACTCCTTTCTGTTGCATTTCTATTCATCTTCACACTTACACGTTCACACATACAACAGCCAACGACCTTTGACTCATGTAAGTCCGCCGCAAGCGAGAAGAAGAGGTAAAATTTCAGTACCACAAGAAATTATACAAATATGTCATGGTGTGTAGAATTGCCCGTGTGCATGTGGCCACCGTTGAAGGGGGTTTTATTGGATCGGCTTGTATGACAGAAAGCTTTTATTCCCTAAAGCATCCATCAGTGGGAGCAAAGGGTCTGCTGGGGCGCACAGGGGAGCTCTTACGAGGTAATGCTCCCGCTGCAGTTTATTTAATTGAAGCAACTTGCAATATAAGAAATTGTGTACATTGAATGTTTGAGTAGGTCGGTTTTCATTTTGAAATGTGGGCCCACCTCTGGTTTTACAGTAAGAGTGGTGGATTTGATCAAATAAATAAGAATTGTCTAAAGTACACATTTCATACTACTTCACTGAAATTCCGAGATAAATATTTTCTATGTTTGTGAATGGGTGAATAACTTGTGGTGGGTGTACAAGCTCAGGTCCATTAAAATGTGTTACCATTTACTGTTGTCTATATTAATATATACATACAAGGTGTGATTAGTACAGTGGCCCGAAGAGCTGAGCTATCTGATTGGCTTGCCACTACCTGAGGATGTCTTCTCAGTCTGTCTTTTTCTGTTGATTAATCACATTAAATTTAGAATCAGAATCAGATCAATAGATTGCACATAAAAGGAATTTTACTTTTCAGGATGTTGCAAACAATAAAGATAAAAAAGACATGAATAGAGAAACATCTACAAGTGCAAAAGACAAGAACATTTTAATCAGATGTAAGTATCAAACATAAAAACTCTCATGTGCTTTCATGTTTTCATTCTAACCACCTTTGTTTTGGTATTTTCTTGTAGATACAGTCTCTCTGACTTCTGTTCAATAAGACATTTTGGCTCCTGGATTTACTTTGATTTCTCGTCAATTCTATTCGAGCCAAGTTCCGTGCAGAGGTCGCCTAGCGTGATGTTGGATGTGGTCCCAACCGTGTTACCGCCAACTACGCCACTTTAATCATGCAAATCCGCAGGGTTGGCTGCATGAATCCTTCAACTGTCTCTGCCTGATTTACACTTTCATGATTCACTGTCTGGAGGAATAATGAGAGCGAGCACTTCAGAAAGAGTGCACATGTAAATGAGACGGACATCTGGACAGGAGGAGGTGGTGTGGGCAGTGATGTTGCTCTAGTACAGGCCGTCATGCAAGCTGCTTGATGTTAACCCTGTTTACAATTGTCGTGACGCGACTATTTAGACAAAAAAATCTTAATGGAGCTTAAATTCAGCCAGGAAGACTGGACAGGCTGTGCCGTTCCCTGGTTGTGTCCTTTCCACCCGTGGGTGCACGGACAGCTGATTGGGGGCCGGGGGCGGGTAGTACGAGCCAACCAGACGTGGGTCCCGTCACTGTAAAGCAGTTGCATTAGTGATAGCAAACTCTTTCGGTGTCAGTTGTCACCTCAGCACATCCCAAGGCGACCTGCCACCACCCCTGACACCTCCAATCTGCAGCAGAACCTGGCATATCAGAGACTGGAGTAACTTATTCTCTACCACCACCACCAGTGTCTGGACTCCCAAAAGGGGGGAGGGGGTGTGCCTCATCTCGGCTCGGCGTCCCGGCACCTGGTCTATCCTACGGCAGGATGTCCAAGCACCAAACAACATTGCACTATAAATATTCATGCCTATTTATAGTAAAGCATTGTTAAAATTTCAACAAGCCCCACCCCCCCCCCCCGGAATGAAAAGGGTTCAAAAAAAATTATTGATTTTTATCCCTCCACTATAGTATAGATTTGGCCGATGACAACTCAAAATGTTTTAGTCTCAGTTTAGTCAACAAAAACTTTACACAGAACAAATTCTGTATTGATTTGGTCTGCTATTTTAAAATATATCCATAAGCAATTTATTAAGTCTGTTATTAAGTTATTTACAAGATATAATAACAAACTTTCACCATCTCCTCCGTCTTCAGGCTTCATCCCCGTGTCTGCTAGTCATTAAATTGCAGCAGCTCGCGTTTTCATTGTGGTAAAGTTGATCAGCTCCTTGTGCGACCTGCTGCTGTGATTGTTGGTTTTAGTTAATGCTTTGAGTAGTGTTACATTTTAGCCCGTGTTGACCTGGTCGTCTTGGTTTAATTACCCGGTGAGCCAACATGCACAAACACGATCTTTGATCGTGATCACAGCTTTGTTCCTCCAAGCATTTGGCATTATGTTTTACAGTGTTGTTGTTTTTTGCAGAGCAGACTTTTAAAGTAAACTTACACGCAGACCGTGTAGTACATTCTATGTAAGAAGCAAACACGGGGTTGGAAATATCAATTCAAAAGTAGGACTTCTGGCTTTGAGCAGCGCTACCTTTTACTTTTTATTACTGGAGGTCGGACATTTTCTAGTTCGGAGTTCATCGGAATGCAACATAATCGATGCAAGAGGTTTGTCCACTCGTGTTTCCAGAAATTTATGGAGGACCTTAAATAAAATGAGGTAGAACTTTGAGTAACACATTATACAATTCATAGTATGAGGAATATTTTGATTCAAGCAAACTATAAAGTCTGTTCTTTTTAAGCGCTGGATGCACTAAAGTCCGGTGTTGACTGGGCAGATGTTCCTACCAGTAAACCAAACCTCCAAAAATCTATAACGTCAATAACCAATTTGAACTCTGCCGAACACACGGCATGTGAGGAAGTCTTCCCACTAAAGACTTGACACTATTAATTCAAACTATCTAACATATCTACTTTGCCGTGTATCTGTATGTGCGTGTTTCTCCGTGTGCGGCCATTTCTTTGATGAAAGCCCCCATGTGCCCGGGTATTTAGTGGAATTAACATAATTGCAGATAATTGTCTGTGAGTCTCATCTGCAGCGTTTGCAGAGGGGAAAACTGATTGTCCCTCTGTGGAGGCGAGAGTCAGGGGGGGTCTTCCATATTAGAACACGGTTAAATACACAAAGACCGATACAATACAATTTGCCACATTTTAACAGAAGTGGAGCGCGTGCACACACCGACACACCACATCCCCTCATTAACCTGCACACACACCGGACAGCGACGTAACAGGATCAGACGGTGCGTCCGACTTCCATTACTAAATCATGAGCAAAATACTGAAACTGTCATATTTAATTACGTCATTAAGAGTTTGAAATTCACAGTTATGGAGTCTAAGTGAGTTAAGTGATTCCCTTCACAGCTTTAATCGTGTCACAAAGTGAAACAGTTTATCTTTCCTCTGGCAAACAAAGTATGGATGATTGATTCAGCCCTTGACTCGATTGAGTAACTTAGCTGTGTTAGTGCTTCAGATTTAGGGGCAATCGGTAGGACTAAAGATAGAAAGTCTCCACTGCCACTGGAACGTCATTAAAAAGAACATGAAATTGAGTGTTTGGTTCCCCACTGAGGACCTGCTGTCATGTCAAGCTCTGATTTTAGATTTTGTTTCCTCATTTTCAGTTCAACAATTCATTTTTCCTTTTCGGTAGACTCGCTTTTCTCGCTGCAGATGATTTACTTTGGGCCCATGTTAGTTTCTCGTCCGTCTAGACCGACTTGCAAAGTGTCAGGAGTCGTAATCAGCATCTGGATGTAAGAAATATCGCGACGTCTTTAATTGCCTGATGTTCCATTCAGGTGTCATATTTCCACGGTAACGGTGGCTCCTTTTCTACAAGCTCAACTTGAGTGTCTCTGATTTATTTATGAAATGTGATTTATTTCTTGTAGGTACTACGTGTGCGTGACCATCCTGATCTATTTCCTTCCTCTGCTGGTGATGGGATGTGCTTATCTGGTGGTCGGACTCACTCTCTGGGCCAGCGAAATCCCCGGAGACTCTTCCGACCGCTACAAGGAGCAGCTCACGGCCAAACGCAAGGTAACCAGCACTTTATAAATCTATGGATGGACACCTGACACATCCAGATGAAAATATCAAAATTATCCAACTATTTAATGGATTGAATTGAATTTTGGGCAGACGTTCATCTCTCCCAGCGGTTGTGTCCTAATGGAATTGTGGATTTGTGGCTTTGTGCAAAGTGTCTCGACAACTGTTGGATGGATTGCCATAAAATCTGCCACAGACCATCATGTCCCGCGTTTAGAATGAGTAATATCATAAGTAGTCCTCAGCGGAGTTAATCGATGCGCTGCAGCATTCCTCTTCTTAAAAAGGCGACAGAAAGAAATAGAAAACTGCTGTAATATTGCTCTTTTTTAATGTTTTTTCCTGGACAGGTCTTGTATGTATTTCAATTATTCATGATTGTATGTATTTCAATTATTCATGAGGCGGGTATCCTGCTGGAACTGTTATGACAGGATTGTTGCACTGAGGCGTTTTGATAACCTGCAACATAAATCCTTTCTGAAATATAAAACAACGCTGGCAAAATTCACACAGTAGACAAAGCGCTGTTGTGTTCCCAACAGGTGGTGAAGATGATGATCGTGGTGGTGTGTACGTTTGCCGTCTGCTGGCTGCCCTACCACGTCTTCTTCCTGCTGAATCAGGCCTTTCCCATCTTGTTTGAAGAAAGGTTCATCCAGCAGGTTTACCTGGCCATCATGTGGCTGGCCATGAGCTCCACCATGTACAACCCCATCATCTATTGCTGCCTCAACGACAGGTCAGTCCGAAACCTGTGAATATCTAGCAAATCTTCAAAAACATTCCTATTGGAAAACGAGAGGACCCCATAAGGGGCCCAAACAAGCCAGAACCAGGTCAGAGCCAAAACCATAATATTCATATATTTAAGAAACCCTAACATATAAACTGATTGTTACACATTATAGCACTTACAGGGGTTCCCCTTTACCCCCACGAAACTAATTAAATCACGCTCATGTCAATAGCATCTTGATTCAGACAGCACTTAGAAGAAATAGTGAACAAAGGTACAATTGCTTCATATTAAAAAAAAAAAAAAAAACTCCAAAGAGTGATTTAGAAAGAAAACAAAGTTCATCAGAGACACTGGATCGCATGAGCATCGTTAGTAAGGACTACGATTTTTATTTAAAGTTGACTGTATTAGAGATATGGTCATTAAATACTACTCGCAGAAGAGATTAATAAATTCTAGGTATTATTATGAATTAATTTCTTCCTTTCATTTCAGTATTTACGATTTGAATCATGCAGCTATTTATTCTCTACTATCTATATATATGTTAAAAATAGTACATTTTTTGAAAGATCATGAAAAGAAAAAATCTATAATTTATTATATTATTAATACCAAATAAAGTCAACATCTGATGTATTTTTCTTTCTAGATACGGTGAGCATCTTGTTCAAAAAACGTTTTAACGTTTCAGAGGTGAAACCATTTTAGCTTTCTTCGGCGGGCGATCGCGTTGTCATTCAGTGACACGCACGCACACACAAGCACACTCAGAGTAATCGCATGGCGGTGTACTTTCCCTGAGGGCTCTCATAGTGACAACCAGTTGACAACTTTGCACCTCAAAGACGTGCATCCCCACAAGAACTGAATTCAGAATCAACTCTAAAACACGTCTCTGAAATTGCCTGAATGCCACTGCGAGCGCCAACAATTTAATGTCGTTCGTATAGGAGAATGTCAGTCAAAAAAAGAAATCCCAGTGAATTCAAATGCGTTCGTTTGTAAAAAGGAACAGCCGATGGTTGTTAATGAATAAAAAAACTAAAAATGAAAATATAAATAAATAAAATAAAATCTGTGGGTTGAACAGCCGAGGTTTAGTCATCATTCCACAAAAGGCAACATCCAGCTTTTATCTCTATGAGCTCAGTAGATTTATATTTAAAAGCATGACTGATGATGCCTCCTTCCTTCTCAAATAACTCTCATTTACCTCCCCCCCATCGTCTTTAGTTCTCTCGCTGTGTAGGCTTTGTACTTCTCTGTGTTAGTGTGTTTCCTGACTGCCAGTTGCGATTTATTCATCCAAACACAATTAGTATTTCACATCAAGTTGATGCACACACACTCTTTGCTCTTAACCAAATTGACCACTACATATCCAGGAGCCTCATTAGGCCTGACCTGTATCAGTCCTTTAGCAGACTATCTTATGTCGAATTGTTTTCTTTAGTTTCTTTAGCATTTCTATTTTGCAGCTTCATACCTGCACAATGGCTGGTGTTTAGCAGAGGCTTTTATTGGCGGGTGTAATTTGGCTGTTAAATTCCCAGCATTTTTTTCTTGAGTGCACTTAAAGCAAACTAAACAGGACCGATCTTTGCTTCTCCCGAACAGGTTTCGGGCTGGTTTCAAACAAGCCTTCAGCTTCTGCCCGTGCGTCCCCCGAGGCTCGTACGAAGGCCTGGAACTCAAGTCCACCCGCTACCTCCAGACCCAGACAAGTGTCTACAAGACCAGCCGGATGGAGACCACCGTGTCCACCGTCCTCCAGGTCGGCGGGGACCACGAGCAGCCCAAGGTCAGGGCGGCCCCGGCGGCCCGGCAGCCCGGTGGGGCCTCCGCCGGAGCCGGACCGCACAGCTCCTCCGCGGACCTCACCTCCAACGAGTCGTCGTCGCGGAGCATCTCCAAAACTGTATCGGAGACGTCTAGTTTCTACTCGAGCAACAACCTGCACGAATAGACCCTCAAACGCAGCCGGACCCGCGTGGCGGCAGGGACAGGGAGCGGGTGGGTTGTTGCCGTAGTTGTTGCTTTTCCCCGTCACTGATTGGCTGTTTTGTTGATGAGAACATTCCCAGTGATTTTACTGTGTGTCGGCGCCGCTGTCACCGAGAACCGCCAGGCCGTGTACAAAGGATTCGTGCTGCTCACTGTAAATGATCATCTTGCCGTTAGAAGCGTTTCGCTCGCTGCCGCAAAAGAGCGACAAAGAGCACATTCCAGTTTGAATAGCTGAACTGACACAGACGCTAGCACCTCCGGCCTTCAGCGCCTCTGCTTGTCACACCAGCCTCCACAGAGCAGAGCGAAGGTTCACACATCTTCAACTGCACATGCTGCGTGACTTTGTGTCTATTTCGGAGCGGAGCTGTGACACGAGGGCAGTATGCTGTGAACGCTCCTCCGCCTGCTCCGTTTTAACCAAGGCTTTCTCTCTCCGTGGAGACCTCGAAGTCGCTCATGTTATCGAGGGAAAGGTACAGATTGAGAAGAGGAAGAAAAACAACAACGAAAAGGATCTTCAAACTCTGCATGTGGGAGTTTGTGAATGCTGACACGTGCTTGTCATCTGACCCGGATGGCATGTCTGTCTCCCAGAGCGGGACTTCCCGAGCAATCCACAGTGCAATCTGACCGGCCATCTGGCTGAAGGACCGAAAAGAAAAAAAGTTCAACCGAGGACCTGAAACGCCCCGAACGACCTGAAGCTGTCACCACATTTCTAAAACGTAAAGGAGCTCGTGTTTTTGTTTCGTGAAACCCGCTGAACCCGAGCAACTCCGGTGTTGTGCTCAGAGACCGATCGGCGAACGGGAGCAGATGAAATGTTCAAGTTTCCCACAGAATCAATACAGTTTCACCGCCATGAGCGTTGCCTCCGCTCCCTCCCTGCGTTACCAGCTTCACCTCAATAAGACACACGACGCTGAGTCATGATCTGATTTCAACACTCTCAAACTGGGAGGTGTTCGTGTAACGCTCATTAGCCGCTCCACCCTCCCACCTGCAGAAACATGCACTCTGCGTCTTAATGAGGCTGGTTTACATTTTATCGTCATCTGTTGTGTGCTTTTTGTCTTGGTATTTGTTCATGTGACCGGCGGTCAGCGGTGACCCCCTTTACGGGGGGATCGGAGGTTTTCGCCTCTCTCAAGTATTCGTGTTTCACATGCGGTCGCTGCGTCAAAATGTAATCCAGTCATTCAACATGTGTGTTTAGTGTCGGGCCTAAAGGGCCGTGTGGTTGTGCACGTATAGCTCTGCCGCGTGCAGCGGCGCAGCACGCTGTCTGTAAAAGGAGAGAGATGCCGCTCGTTCTGCAGGGGTCCGTGAAAAGGTCAGTTAGCTAACGGGGGGCTACGGAAGCCAAATAGGACAAACTCTCTTAACCTCTTACAATGGAAAACACGCACAGGCATGCATACACATCAGCACACACAAGCGATCATACAGCTACAAGTTTGTCTCTGTACTAGTGGCCTATTGATATATTAGTTTCAACTCATATTATGATGAACACTTCAGGATTTCATGCATACTTTGTAACTGTTTAATGGAGACCAGAATAGTTTCACTACAAATATCCTTGAGTGATAATTACAAAATGATCAAGATTTAAATCCTGTTCACCAAAACAAGCACTAAGTCATCTAGTAAGTTAACGTTACTCCTAAGTGGCTCGGCAAAGACGCTTTTATTTCTCCTCCTTTGAGAAAAACATGTTAGCTAAATTACTGGGGCTGTAACGCCAAAAGTAAAGGATAAAAATCCAACTTTCCCGTCCAGTTCAATAAAAGGTTCAGCTGCAGCGTTCTAAAATCTAATTTAATTCAGTTTGTCCCATATACTTTTACATCTGATGAAGGCAGACATTTTAATTTTTTTGTTAGTTTTTAGTTAAACCTCCTCAAGTGTAAATTAAAGTTCCTGTGCAAATTAATTTACAGTAAAAAGTAAGCCGTCGTTTACAGAGAGGTTTGAATTAGCTAGTTCTAAAAAATGTAATTTATGCTTGTTTGTGCAAACCTCTTAACTATAAAGTCACATTTTTCTTTCTTGAAGTTATATTTATTCAACTTAAAGCTAGACATAGCTTTTAGTTTTGTGTGCTAGTACACACACACACACACACACACACACACACACTCGCAACCAGAGAGGGATCACCTGTTGTCACCCATCATTCTACTTTCACACACACAAACACACAGCGCAGTTGCTCCCTGACCTCTGGTCTATTCTCAGCACACAAAAGCTGTTGTTACACATTCCAATGTCAGCTGACGTGAAGCTGAGGATTAGATGAGAAGCATCGTGTCTTTATTTGAATGCAAGGAGGTCAGTTCGGTGATGAGGACATCAAGAGCGTTGGTGCTGCATGACAACGCGTGAACACACGCTACATTTAAGCAATAAGGTACGAGGCTGTGTTTTATTGGACGATAATGTAACAGTTTGGGGGTGTTGTTAGGCCCCCCCGTGCGTACTGCCTCAAGTACCTTATTGCTTTTTAATACATTTTAAATAGTCACTAAATAGCTGCCTTTCAGCACAAAATAGTGTTAGCCACCCAACGTGTATCGCATTTCAAAAGTTTAGAAAAAAATAGTCCCCGTACGTGCATGTAAATAAAGATCTCGCCCATGACGTCCACCTTAATTGTCCGCTCCGCGTCGGGCCTAACAACGCCCCCGAACTGTTACATTATTGGACGATAAAGTACAGCCTCTCGTACCTTTATTGCTTTAATAATGCACAGCCCGTGACTCACTCCCAACCAATCAGAACGCTGGATTTCATCTACCCGTATTATAATGATGATGATAGCGTGGGAATTCCTGTTTATAGGGAAGAATACCGTATGCTTTATTTTTAGCACCATCACGTTATATCGGCGGATCAGTGTGATACAACCAGCTAAAGGCCAATATCCTTCATTATTATTCAGTGTTGTATGAGCTTGAAAACTTGAAAACTCAGCTAAATTACCCCCATTTGATTGCCCTGGCAACATGCAAAAACAACTCTCATCAGACTCTGATTCAAGTCCCGTGGTGCTAAATTCTGATTGGTGAACAGAATGGTAGAAAAAAAAAAATACAGAAACCAACTGAACCGTTGATTGATTTAAATGGATGCAAAACAGAAGCTGCGGCTTTATCTGGTAACAGCAGTGACACACTGTCACTTGACCTTCAAGTAATTCCGCTGCTTTGCTTTTTTGGGCCTAAGCATCAAAAGATGCCAATCTGCCTCAGATTATAACTACATGAGCATCTGCAAAGGCAGCAGAGCTTCTCAGCATAATTACAAGTCCACCACCGAGGCACAAAGAGAGTCAGCTCTGACAGAACGACAGCATTGTGCTTGATGTTATTAGAACATAGTTATTTGATTACGGTATGAAAAAGATGCCTCCTGCCCTTATTGGATGATGTCAGTGAGCTGAATAGAGTGTTCCTTGCCTTGAAGTAAATTAGCTCATACAATAAGTCAAAAAAGTAGTTTGTGTGCTTACATAGACTAATTATTAGAGCCGATCTACATTCAATATTTTGATCAATATACTTGCCGACTATTACGTAGCATCCATGACCCTGCATGCTGCGATGGCGCTGATGAGGAAGTTGTGCTAATTTAGCCTTAAGCCTTACAAACCAATCTGAACAGAGTCATAACTAAGACACAGCATTTTAAATCTGACCTTTCGACTTAATCTTGTGGCGCCTGTGGATGTAAACGGTGAAGCAACCAAAGTCGTCCACGCGACAGAGCGGAAAGCTGTGGGTGCAATAAAATGACTTAATTCTCCTCCATATATTCACCGTAGCCAAATAACTACGCAAGAACATAAAGATCTCTGACGCCTGTGATTAAATGTTCCTCGTAGTTCCTTTAGTATTCAGTGCTGTAATCGATAGTAGTTCCTCAAAAAGATATATATGTGAGTGTGTGTGTGTGTGTGTGTGTGTGTGTGTGTGTTGTGTGTGTGTGTGTGTGTGTGTGTGTGTGTCTGTCCGTGTCTGTGTAGAGCACTAGTTTAAAGAAGGAGGATGTAATTGAGTCAAACAAATCAACCTTGCTATTGCATTTGAATCTCAAAGAAGCCCTTCCAATTTAACTACAATTAAAAATGACAGACCTCATATGACATAACATCCGTGGTATCCATTATAATGTATAATAATGTAATCCATTATTATAGTATAAGGTGAGACAAACACAGGCGTGGAGTAAAAGCTAAGCTACCTCATCGTCTTTTCCTTTAGTTATATTTCATCATATTGTTCATCAGAGTGTGTCCCTCTCATCCTACCCCCACTTGGACAAGTCAAGTGGATCAGGCCGAGCAGAACCTGTGGCTTTAATGAACGTGTAATCAACTTTGTTCGAGCGCTCTTCAAACGAGCCCGCGGTCTCTCTCTCTCTCTCTCTCTATCTCTCTCTCTCTCTCTCTCTCTCTCTCTCTCTCCACCGCACACACACACGATGGTGAGAGTGATGCAGGCGGAAGATGCCAGCTCGTTGCTGAGGAGAGGCGCCAGGCAGGCTGCACAGCAGGGTGAATGGCCTCATCAGCACCATCTCTTCCTGTGTTTGGATCCATCTCTCGCTCTCCAATCACGCTAATTGCGACATTGAAGTGGAGAGGGCAACCAGCCGAACGCACGCACGCAAGTGTTCTTTGCACACAGGCCCATATATTTGGCAGCGTGGGTCTCGCCATTAAAGGGTGTGAAATATATACAGGTCACAGCGTCAGCGCCGTGAGTTGCATACACAATTCTGTGTGTGTGTGTTTGTGTGCATGGGTGACCTGAGTAGTGTCCGTCATTCAGTGTCCTTACATTCACCGGAGCGCTACTCACCGTGCACTTCTTTGAGAAAGTAAATGTTATTTGTAGGAATATGTACACATGCGGGTTAGTAGCAAGGATCCTTTGCGGTAGTTTCTTAGGAGAAATTCTCTTTGCCGGGTCAGAACATCTGCACCCTGGCAGCGAAAACTCACTTAACTGCAGTGAAGAACAGCCTGTGCAATGTACTATCAATGTAAAGATTACTCAGTAATGTTGCTTTGTGAAATAATAGCTACTCTGGTTTTCCTCCTCTAGCACTAATTCCAACCTTTTTCCGTAGTCTATTCTGTGAATCTACTAAGCTTGTGAATGTGATGTTTGGATTATGAAGTCACTTTCGGTATTGTGTCGTAAAATGAATTTACCTGTGGAGAGAATTTGTACAGAACAACAGCACGTGGGAGTGTGTGTCCTTCTAAAAGAAATAAAGAGAAATCTTGCGTTACTAGTGCCTGTTGGACATGTTCCTCTCTCTCACTTGCCATGTAGCTGTATTGATATTTATATCCTAAATGTAGTCACAAGGTTGAGAGTAAAGTTGTAACTTTACTCTAAAGACCTGGACATTTTTGTTTGGGCTTTTTTCTCCTGTGCATTCAATTAAAACAGTTTAAGCCTCTGAATATTCAATATTCTTACTGTTAATAAATCCAAAGCATACAATGCCAGCATTTCATTCTAATGAGCTCGTCAGGAGCCGGGTGGGTCTTGATCTGCAGTTGAATGTAGTGCCCAACAAATGCATTATTTACTCCTGCTTGAATAACGTTGGCTTAAAGTCACTTGTGTTAAAAAGAAGCCAGTTGTATTTAAATAAATACGCTGCTCGCTGACTGACTCTCAGGTCAAGGCAGAACGTTTTGCGAGAATTTATATTTGTTGACAATGAGAAAGTAATATTTCACGGCCGTAATTATTGTAGATGGGTGAGAAATATATATCTGAAATAGTTGTTATCAGACACAGCCGTGTTTGCCAGTTCTTTTGTGATTTATCCGTTTTGCTTGTTTCTGTCAAAATAAAATTTAGGTACAGATCATCTTTAATGTCAATCCTGGTTTTGATATTTGAAAAGAAAGAAGAAAGAGAGTTTATCTTGTGTATCTTCTCACTGCTGTGAGTTGGCTGTGTGTGTCTGTTAGCACTGCTCATGTTAATGACTATTTGTGGTGTCACATGAACTGTACGCTTGGTGTTTTTATCTGTGATCGCTGACAAAATCTGGGTATCGATTGTAATGTCTTCTATTAAAGATCATTGCAGTATTCATTTCTAACGACAAAAAGTGTACAAGTACTTTCCCTCCACATCAAACAACAATTGTCATGGAAACATGGAAGCAAGCATCTGGCACATAAAGTGCACATAAAGTGCCACACAGCTCGCATGACGTTCAGAGAGAGAACAGACCAAACAACAATGTACTCGGTTTGTGTGTGTGTGTGTGTGTGTGTGTGTGTGTGTGTGTGTGTGTGTGTGTGTGCGTGTGTGTCTGCCACGGCTCGCTCTCTGTCTTTGTGTATCCTGACCTGCAGGTACACGAGCGCACAGAGATGAGAGAGGGAAGGGCGAGGAAGAGGAGGGCTCGGCGTGTGTGTATGTGTGTGTTTGTGCGTTAGTGCACGTGTGATAACAGGCGTAAAAACAACAACAAGAGGCTGAGAGTGTCGCCGGTGTCACATGAGAACATGTCGGTGCCGGAGTGCACTGGATGCATGTTGAACCCCAGCTGAGCTGCCTTCACGGGCCGGAACCTTCCATCTGCTAGAACACCAAGAGATGCGAATACAACACTTTAAAACCTCAGCAAATTGGATTGTATCAGTGGGAATGTTATGAGATCTTAGTGGTGATCTTTTAGCACCACTGCCGCTTGATGCAGCCACGGAATTGTCCAACACATCACCCTCCATAAAACCACAGCTGTTAGTTTTTGTACAGATTCAACAGAATAAGCAGTAGCAGTCGTAGTAGCTCCGCTATAAAGAGAGTTCTGTTTTTTGACCACGTTTAGATGCATTTTTTGATTTTAGTTTTATTTTTTATTAATGTCCCAGCCAGCCTTTGCTTTTTCAGTTAATTACAGGTCTACAATAAGCCTACACACAATTCATTATCAGATTCAACTCGTGTTATCCATCTCAATTAACATCAAATCTGCATTCATTTAATCGCCTTTAGGGGTGATGCTGTGGATGCAGTTGAAGTTGTAGTTTTATTTTTTTGGAAATACGAGATAAAGACATTCAAATATCTAACGCACAGCAACAGTCGGCTCCCCAGTAGGTTCTTTAAGCGACGCATTAATTTCCCCTCAGTGTCTAGTATTATTGAATTCGAAAATTTTATTACCTAAAGGTATTTTATGTTATGCCTAGAAGAAGAGTTACTGTCAGGACAGAGCAAGACCCCCTCGGGAGACCGAATGTCTCCACTGAAAGTCAACAGCACATTGCAGCCCGAAGATGGATTCCCCGTTACTGGTTTTTTTACGGACTGCAGCGACGGGCCGACACGTGATAAAGAAGTAACCCCAGTTAGCCAGTGGCTGTGTTTATGCAGGACCTCCAATAGTATGAGAGATAAACCCCAGCCAACCTATGATTAATGATAAAAGGTCATAGTGAGCAGGTCTGCTGTCAGCCTTTGGGAGGCTCAGCCTTGCACTGCATCTGGTTCCTGTCATTTGGTTAAGCAGCAGAGAGAGACTCAGCGAGCAAATGTCTGAAGTCTGTCAGAGGAACCAAGACTTCCAGGTAGCACCATCTGTGCTCCTTTTCTCCCCTTTTATCATTCTTGCATACAAATTTTGGTTTGGGCAGATGGAGAACAAAACCCAATTCATTATTGTTTTAAATAAAAGAGTTATGAAGGTAAAGTAAAATATGTATTTGTTCATTAAATCCTCAATAATGCAGACTAAGCTCACGTAAATAAGTTCCATTGGATTCAAACAGACCGCTGTAAATAATCTGTTATTCCAATAGTGTGCATTTCCCTCAGGTTTTTCCACAAAAGATAATTCTAAATAAATGACAAAATGAGTGAAAACTCCTTGGTTGTATTTCTCACCACCGTACATTTGCACAAAGGCAAGAGGGAGGAGAGCCGAAACGTCCGTCTATCTGCAGGTTGTAACGTTTCAGTGAGGAACACATCATTGTGTGACTATAGAACGTACAGCATCACTACCCACAAGGAACGGAAGTGACATTAATACATTTCCCACACAGAGAGCGTAGACTCAAGCAGGGGGGTGGAGGTGTTGTTTTGAAATGCTTTAATGGGACGTGAACAAACCAAAATCATTTTGACCAGTCAGGCATTTCAGTGAACATGTTGAGTTACGTTGCATGTGTTGATTTAACCGGAAGCTTCACTGCCCACGATAACCGAAACCGCAGAGTGTGTGGGTTAAACAGCAGGGGACGAAACCGACAAATGATTATAATGAACATTTCCATTCGAAGTTGATGCTTAAACGGATCGTCACTTCTGATCTGAATTTACAGAGACAATAAACTCAGACGAGTTAGTGAGCTTTAAACTCTAAACTTTGGGAACTCCGTACTAACGCCCACCTCGACCGCTAAGAACTCGGCGGGCTCCACCGACAACACACCCACTTCTTCTTGCCTCACACATTGCCCGGGCCAGCCGAACTCAGTAGAAAAACCCTCTTCCACACAATAGGAGATCACTCTACCCTCTCACTCAGAAGAGCAGCGCAGGTACTGATTCAGGCTCTTGTCATCTCCCGCCTGGACTACTGCAACTCCCTCCTGGCTGGTCTCCCTGCCACCGCCATTCGACCTCTGCAGCTCATTCAGAATGCAGCAGCTCGACTGGTCTTCAACCTTCCGAAATTCTCCCACACTACTCCACTCCTCCGCTCTCTTCACTGGCTACCGGTGGCCGCCCGCATCCAGTTCAAAACACTGGTGCTCACGTACCATGCTGTGAATGGATCGGGTCCAACTTACATCCAGGACATGGTCAAACCCTACATCCCAACCCGCACTCTCCGCTCTGCATCTGCAAAACTACTCGTCCCTCCCTCACTGAGAGCAAAACACTCGACTAGATCTCGACTCTTCGCTGTCCTTGCGCCGAAATGGTGGAACGAGCTCTCTGAAGACATCAGGACCGCAGAGAGCCTCCACATCTTCCGCCGCAAACTAAAGACACACCTCTTCAGACTCTACCTCGACTAAAGACTAACAAATTGTAGCACTTAAATTGTACTTGTAACGTCACTCATCTATAGCAAATTGTAAATTGGCTTATTTGAGGAAATTGCACTTTCTTGTTTCTTGTTCTCCTGAGTTTGTACCCTATGGTTGAATGCACTTACTGTACGTCGCTTTGGATAAAAGCGTCAGCTAAATGACGTGTAATGTAATGTAATGTAATGTAAAGGTTAGCAGCATTAAAATGTCTTTGTTGCATGTTCTGTTGTCAGAATGGATTCTCAACAGTGGCCCAACAAGAGGAAGGAGAGAACGTTGCATCCCTAGAATCTCTGTGGAAAACTGAGGTTTTAATTCTGCCACCAACTCAACTGACCCAACTGACTTACTGTTTTAATTCCATCAAAACCATTGTAGCATATTTGCTGTTAATGAAATATAAGTAATCAAGTTGATTAATCAACTTGGACATTGATTGGCGTTGGGACAGTGATTAGATGTGTCAGTTAAGGCTGCAAAGCAAATACACTGATGGAAAGTCAAAGCAGGCACAAGAAAAAAAGAGCAAATCGATCTGATGGCCGCAGAGTGACAGGAGGTCTAAACCCTTAATGACAGCATGAAACTCAGAATGAAGATTGAAGGACTGAGATGCGAGAGGAGCCAGAGGACTGAAAGCAGAGCAACAGGGAGGTGAGGACACAAGTGAGAAATACAGAACAGAACGAAAGAGAGCACCATGGAAAGTGAGAAGACTCAAGACGGAGGGAAGAGAGACTGAGAGAGAGAACAGGGGAGGAGGACGGAATGGGAGACAAAATTAGCCCTGGGGAGCTTTAATGAAGGCTAATGATCACGTATCAAGCGTTCCATCGGCCCCTGGGTGGCCCCTGCAGCCCGGTAGTCTTTGTAGTCTCCTCCACTCTTTGGTCTACTCCACATTTGGTGAAGCGAGCCAGCGTTTGGGGCGGATCTGGCAAAGACCGGAACCTGACAGAAGGAATTAATGACCAAAACAGGACTGTTATTTTAGGCAGAGAAAATAAAGATAAAATGGGAGGAGGAGCTCAGGGGAGGTGTGTAGGTAAGCACAGTAGACAAAGGCAGGAACACAAAAAAGAAAATACACAACAAAGCAGGAACGCCAATGCAGAAAACAAGTCGACACAGCAAAGTTATGTCGACGTCAATATCGGACTTCACAAGACCGGTGTGGTGATATTTCCAGGCATGTGGATGCATTAGAGCTGCCTTCAAGAATGTCCATATAGGTGGATGGATGTGCTTTCCTGAGTGTGTGTGTGTGTGAGTGTGTGTGAGTCGAGGCAGGTGGTGGACAGCCGAGTGGAGTCTCTGATCCTGGGAGGCGTCTCTCCAGAGACAAATTGATGGACTATCATTTCCCTTCACTGTGTGCAGCCTCGCTGCCTGGTACATGGAGTACATAATCACATATCAGCAAGGAGCACTCCCCCCTCTCTCTTTTATGCACACATCACGCAACCTGCAGGGTCACAACAAGTGACAAGTTCACGTTTGCTCTTTTCTCAGGCTGCTTTCAACATTTTTCTTAGACGTCAGCCATAAACCCGCCAGTGCTGCCGCCTTTGTGATGGTCTGTCCCTTCTTTTTGTGTTTAATCGGTTCATAATTGTCGCCGCCGTCACCTGTCCCTCGCTATCCCCCTCCTTTTCGGTCGTCTCGGTGCTCGGTAGGTGTTTACCTACAATCTGCCTCCTTCGCCTTCCTTTGGTAACCTGTACGGTGTTTTGTTAATTTAATCTCTCTTCAATGAATCTTCCTATCTCAATCTTTGTATTTGGGTCCTTCTTGGTTGTGCTGCTGTCTTTAGCCGACACGCTGTGAGAACGTATACGACTCTCACAATACGACATTCTTCAATAGCAACATTCTCTAATCCGGTATCACTTGATGTAGACGGATCAGTTGTACATTTCAAAATCACAGGTCTCTACCCACAGAAGATGTAGCTTTGATGTCCGTCAGTTTCAGCCTGACCAGGAATACACAACAAATCAACGGCCATCATCATTACGCGCAATTGGCATCAGCACTGGAGAACTGC